GGGAGGGGGGCTCGGGGAGTGCATTTTGGCACATATCTGCATTTAGTTTTAAATCCTAAAAAAATATGCTCTGCGTCTATTAATTAACGTATTTTTACTTTTCCCTGCCTTGACCCCCCCCCCCCACGTCACATTTCTTTGAAAGAAGGAGCTGGCCGATGCCGATTGAGTGGACCTCAGCCCCCCTTTGCCCCCCTCCTGCACAAGGGGGGATATATGCCTGATTTAATTTAAGATAATTTAGGATAATTTATGTATTGTTAGTTGTGGGCACTGTAGGCTTAATAATAACACTATTAATAATTAATGCATCGTTCAGTCACTCAGCCTCAGTCTCAGTCATCAACCGTGCCATGCCGTACTAGTAGTAAGGCCTGCCTATCATTTTAGTTAACATTAAATATTTAAGTTAAAGAACAAGGCTGATCATTCACATATATTTTTTAATGCATAATATTAGTTTAATAATTTGTCATTTTAGAAATTAATAATCCAAAGTCCCGATTTTTAAAAAAACCGGGTATTAATATTATAAGGCATAATAAAGGACTGTGAGTTATTTTAATAACTGAAGTGGATGCGTACACCGCGGCGGTGTACCTAGCGAAACCATCGGCTTTGGCCTACGTAAACCGCAGCTGTGTACTTAGCGAAATGGTGGGCTTTGGTCTGGGGACACCGCGGCAAAAAATGTACCATTGGCCTGGTTTTAAGATAATATGCATGTTAGACAAGATCTTGTGTGGTCAAGTGGTAGAGTGGACGCTTGACGATATAGAATCTATTTTGAAATCAATACCCAGTAGGGGATCAAGTTTTTTTTTTTTCTTCCGATTAATTAAAAATATTTTATATTTAAATTATCATGTTCATTTGCAACAGTAGTTTGATGAGAAGTTTTTAAATATTTTGTAGCAATTCAAACAATTTAAATATATGTGATATTTTATTGTATCTCAACCTTCTTCGTGTAGTTGAATATTTACATTTTACTTTTACGAATACCCAAAGAAAATACCAGTAGATCAATAATATCATATGAATATTAATGTGCATGGTCGTATTTCAGCCATCCTTGCTTTCACTATGCACTGGCAAAATGTGCACACGATATCAACGGCTCATTTACAACACTCAGTCTCACAGCAAATCTTTGGAAAACACCTCGATTTTATAAACTTACGGAGCGGTAGCAAACTGTTGACTACTGTTTAGCAAAGCCAAAGCCATAGGCTAGGTCTGAGTTTACCCTTTTCATGACGGAATTTGTTTCCAGAATGACATGGCATGCGCTATTCTCAGGGTAAAACACGACGTGTCCTCACAGAAACCATTGCACAATGGCCGGCTTGGGACAGGATTTGCACTATGTCAAAGTTTTTTTATTTATTGTTTGTTTTGTTTGTTAAAAAATCGCTCCTTGCCGGGGATTGGAGGTGAGTTATGGACAGAGGCTTGACCCAAAGGAGGGCCTACACAAATCACGGCTCTGGGTAGGGGTTGTCCACAAAGGACGTCCGCACAACAAACTTCCCTTTTGCACCCCCCTCCTTTTTTTTTTTGCCGGTATTTTTTTTACTAATGTGTAATGCCAATGTAAAACTAAATCAATTATATTTAATTATTGTTGAAAGACTTTTAAAAATCAATACAGTGTTTCGTATTTATCATCATACCGTTGTCTTGTGTTGACACACGCTTGGTATCACAATGACAATGCCTCGAACAACTTCATGATCAATGTATGAGTATGCGATTCTCTTCCAGTAGTGTATTTGTGGCGTAATTATATCTTGGTGCTAACAAAATAGATTCACTGGCTTCCCATTCATTTTTTCACCATGCCCCGAGGGATAAAATAAAATGTTATAATTATATAATGCCCCCCCCCCCCAAAAAAAAACAAAACAAAACTGGGTGGGGGGAGAGAAAAATTTCAAATTAGCTACCAAACCGGAAGAGCACCCATTATTTTTTTCACCAGGCCCCGAGGGAAAAAAAAAAATGTTAAAATTATATAATGCCCCCCCCCCCCAAAAAAAAAACAAAACAAAACTGGGTGGGGGGAGAGAATAATTTCAAATTAGCTACCATTTTTATGCATATTAAGATTCACAATTATAGGATAAAACTTACAACAATTAATAAATATATTTGTATTCAATATATGGGAGGGGGGGGGTAAGTGGTTAACTTTAAAAATAAATCATGGTTTAACATAACACCCCCAGCCCCCTCCCTTCCAATAAATAATAAGAAACGCTTTACAAGTACTTTGCCACATAAGTGTGGAACTTACTCAATATCTTCCTCCCAAGATACAAAATGAATTGTATATAAATAGTTTTCAGTTTTAACAAGAGTATAAGTATAACATTAAACCTGGCTACAAGTACCGGTTAGGCAAAAAAATTAAAGACTCGCAAAGACCATGGTTTTGCTACTTTAAATCGCTGCGGTGTACGCAGGCCAAAGTCAATAGTTTCGCTAGGTACACCGCCGCGGTGTACGTAGTACGTAGTGCCGGCCCTTAATAACAAAGATTTTTCGTACATCATTTTAGAATGACTTCCCCTTAATTTATAATTTGGACATAGAAAAACATTTAATTTTAGTTTTAGTGTTGTGATACGAACGACTGTGATAACTCAGATAATGTACGTGTTTCTCCGGCTACTTCACTAACAAAAGGAAGCTTTACAAAAAATCTAACAATCTATTTAAGTTTAAGCCAATAATAAATGAGACATTTATGATTTTACACTCAAAACATATCATATTTATATGATTCATTTTAATCATCCTTTTATTATAAGTATTCTTTAGTATTCTAACGCAATGAAGTGATTATCAATCAATCAAACAATGAATTGAAAAAAACGAATCAACTAAAAATTAAGAATTATAGCAATAGTATTATATTCCGTGTCTATAATATATAGGCCTAATACATACCTGCTCCTGCTATCATAAAGTGAGTGTCATTATCATTAAGACTAAGAGTAAGAGGGCTTACTAAGAGTAGACAAAGTGTTGAAAGTATAAGACTGAGACATAACTGAATAATCGAATGAAGATGTGAATGTATACATAATACTGATGGCATGGCTAATAATCATAATGCCTATTTATGATATTTATTATATTTAATATTCATTAACTATTAATTTAAATTTATCTCCGAAGTCCTGAAACTGAAAAAAATTCTATACTATAACTATTACTTTATTATAATATACAAATTCAAATTTCAATTTAATAATGGATGGGGGTTAGTGTCTTCAAAATAATAAGATCTGATTAGTTATGCATAGAATTGCTTGCTTATTTGATTGCTAGCTATGCTTAAAAGTGACTTATTTAATTAAATAAAAATTTTATTTCAAAAATTTAATTAAAAGAACTCAGCCAAGTAGTGCAATATTTTTAGAACGATCAAAGTTTTTTGACAAAGACTTATTATTGTCTTTCGACAAAGAAATATACATTTTTAGATATTTATATTTTGATTAAACAGTTCTTGCATAAATATTTTCAGTAATATTATTTTTAGGTACCGGTATATTAATTAAAATAATCACCTTGTAAATTTTCTTTAGATGGATGATATACTCATTTCGGTAATAATTATGATGACTTTGTTGGGACTGACTGCAATAATCATGTCAATTTATCGAAAGTACCGCCTTCGTCACTACTCGATTCCAGTAAGAGACCCAACTAAAGGGCACAGATTTTTTATGGTTGATATGTTTACCACTTTAACCTATTGTAACATTGAGGAAAAAAGGCTCAATGATGGAGCCCAATGTGATACATGTGGAATATGTGTGGATGACAAAAATATGAAAGAAGCCAATAAAAAAATCCAGTGTAAAGCTGCATCGACTAAAGATGCTGTAGTGAGGCATCACTGGGTCCGGGGAAACCTTCCTGCGTGTAGCAACTGTTTAGTATGTCATCAAGAGTGTGGAGTGAAACTTGCATTGACTGATCTACGCTGTGCTTGGTGTAAAAAAACAGTTCATGATAATTGTGCAGCTAGATCTGAAACATGTGACCTGGGTAGGTTTAGAAAGCTGATTGTGCCACCAAACTGCATTGAGGTGAAATGGGTGGGAGTGAAAGGCACGCGACAGAGACACCTTATAGTGCAGAAGTTGAAGCACCCGCAGATAGAAGACTGGAGCCCACTAATTGTGATTGCCAATAGAAAAAGTGGGAGCAACGATGGAGAACTGATTCTTAGACATTTTCGAGATATTTTAAATCCAGCTCAGGTGAGTATCACTCAGTTAAAGCAAGGGCAGGCAACCTACTGCCTGCCAATTAAAAAAAAATGTTTATGATGCCCTGTGCACAATAACGTTTCCCAACCCTTATAGTGAGAGGAGATGTTAAACTTTGAACTTAGAGTAAAGGGGGGGGGGGATATGGGTCTAGGGTGGAGAGTATAGGGGAAGATGGGTCTAGGGTGGAGAGTATAGGGGAAGATGTTAAAATTTTAAGTGGGGATGAGGAGAGAGTATTGTCAGAAAGTAAAGGAGTGCAAAGAGAGGGTGGGGAAGAGGTTGTTTGAGAGAGAGGTTGGGGAATAGAGTAGGATTGGAAATTATCAGTCTTAGATTTGGAGAGGTTAGTTGAGAGAGGGAGAGATTTCAAGTCATCAAATCTGTCGTCCCACAAAAGCCAATAGTGCAACTAAATAAATTATGAAATTAACATTTCATTATTTGTGTCTTTCATAAGTCATAGAAAAAAATTAAATAAACTAAGTTTTTTATATTAAAAAAATTTAAAAATTTTGAATAAATACTCTTAGAAAATTTACTGGATACCGGTATCCAGTAAATTTTATAAGAGTATTTATTCAAAATTTTTAATTTTTTTTAATATAAATGTACTTCGTTCTCTCATTTTCAACACATGAGAAAAAAGGGGAATTAATACTACTTTTAAGAAGGAAACATAAATCAAAGCCATTTCCCCTTGCCCCATGGAAAATCAAATGTATGGGGGGCATTGACGCTTTACAGAGATACAAACTGAAATAAACTGGCAAATGTTAAACTCTTGTCTGTTGCCTATACATGCTTCTCAATTTTTAGCAAAGATTATTTGATACTTGATTTGATAAAATTAAATTTTAATGCATTAAAAAAAGGAATTAAAATGAGTTTGATTATGGAGCAGCATAAAAAAATGGAGCCTGCTTTGGTTTCCAGCACTTACCCAAAGCCCTAGTTTCTAATAAAAAGATTTGCACATCCGATGGCCTCATCAGCATCAAAATCTTAGTTAATCAACACTAAAAATTTATTTATCAAACAACAAAAGATCAAATTTAACCTTAAAATTGCTTCTAATGTAATATGTGTGCAGGTGGCACAAGCAGAACCAATATAAGATAAGATAAGATTTTTTTATTGATCCAAACAAATGGAAATGTTTTTTGATTGCATTGTACACTTTCAGCCTATAAATAAAATTTGAACACTAGACATTTGCAATAAATCATTTCACTAATGAAAAAACAGCCATTCCGTGAATACTCTTAGCCATATCAGGGACTTATTAGTTATCATTAAGATTTTTTACTTCAAGGGAAGCACGCTGGTAAATTTGTACAGATTGTTGAACAAAATAATTTGTATATCTTTCAGTCCTGGCCCTGAGAGAAAGAATTCATCTAGAACGGGTCGATCCTAAGTATCTGTGATGAAGAGCCTGGGATGTATCATCCAAAATTCATTTAGTTTTACTATAACATCTTTCCTCAAATAGTTCTCAAGTGAAGGATGTTTAGTTTGTCTTGTGTTCCTAGCTTTCTCGATTAGTCTGTTTATTCGGTGTTTAATGTTATACGATGAATTCCCACACCAGCAGGTCATATTGAAATTAAGTAGGCTTCCAATAGTTGCACTGTAGAATAAGTTAACGACTTGTTTGTTTACGCCGAAATTGTACAGTTTTTTGAGGTAGAACAGTCTTTGGTTGAATTTCTTAGACAGCATTTGGTAGTGCTCATGCCATGTTAGCTTATTATTAATGGTGACACCTAAGTACTTATATGCCTCTACTTTCTCTACACTTTGATCTTATATGTTGAGATCTGCAATTTGGTGTTTCCCCCTCCTGAAATCAAGAACCACTTCCTTTGTTTTTGAGACATTCAACTGGAGAAAATGTTCATCGCAGCAGGTTGATAAAGCTTGTAACTAAGTTGTGGTATAAGCCTTCTCCTTCAGATATTAAGCCAACGATGGTGGTATCATCAGCAAATTTTAAGATTGGAACAGTGTCGCTTGAGCTCTGAATATCATTGATATATATTGTATACAGTACAGGGGAGAGAACGCAGCCTTGTCTCGCCCCAGTGCTTATTTCTCTGGTTAGAGGTAATTTGTCATTTACATTGACATATTGTGGGTGATTTGTTAAAAAGTTCAGTACCCAAGCTTGAATATTTAAATTGACACCTAACGAGGAAAGTTTCTTTATATATATGTGTGTGTGTGTGTGTATTAGGATTGAAAAAAATCTGAGGTTATGAGATGCACCAATCAAAAGACCAACTGGAAAGGGTCTTAAAGAAATATCTTATTTAGTTGTCATAGTAACTGAGGAGGTCACCATGCGCCCCTATCTTTCCAGTCTTTGCTTTAAGTTATAGTTAATGTTTGCATTATATATTTTTTTCCCAGGTGATTGACATCCAAGATATGAGTCCAGAGAATGCTATTGAATGGTGTCATCTCTTACCTGATGTCACGTTTTCACTCTTAGTTTCTGGAGGGGATGGTACCATTGGATGGGTGCTTACAGCTATAGAAAAACTAGGACTTGAGGTCAGTCCGATGGAATAGTTTGCATTACGATAGCCTAGCCGTGCGGTCAATAATATTGTGGTCAATAATATTGTGGTCAAGAATATTGTGGTCAAGAATATTGTGGTCAAGAATATTGTGGTCAAGAATATTGTGGTCAATAATATTGTGGTCAATAATATTGTGGTCAAGAATATTGTGGTCAAGAATATTGTGGTCAAGAATATTGTGGTCAAGAATATTGTGACTTGCTGAAAATCTCTCACAAGATGCTAGGAAGGTTCTTTTTTAAAATGTTTTGCTCATCAATTTTCATTGTCTGTTTATATTTGACAGAATTCCCCCAGAGTCTGCATTCTCCCCCTCGGTACCGGTAATGATCTTTCTCGAGTGCTTGGTTGGGGTGAAGGCTATTCAGGGGATGTTGAGGTTACGGCTATCTTAGACAATGTTGAAAAAGCACGACCAGTCCAGTTAGACCGATGGACAGTAGATATTAAGCACGTCAAACACTTTGGATTTTCTCGACCTTCAAAGGTAAAAAAAACTGTTTTTATTTTGTTGGCCAAAGTTTTGTCTTGTTGTATAAGCCAGGCCTGCACAACTCAACATGTAAGGCGGGCCATAGTTTTGTCTTGTTGTATAGGCCAGGCCTGCACAACTCAACATGTAAGGCGGGTTTTAGGGCCAGGCCTGCACAACTCAATATGTAAGGCGGGGCATCTGTTGTGCAGGCCTGGAATATGCCATAGGGACAATAGTTAAAAAAAACCTTGAACATGTTCATTCCATTGAGTTGAAGCAATGAAATGAAAAAGCTCAAATATTACTCCCCTAACTCCTTCATTTCTCTTCTATAAAAAGCGTACATTTATATACACAGTTTTATTTCCGCTCATTTAATTTTGTAGTAGGTTTATCGAGGACTGCTGCAATCATTCTTAAAAAGCTTTTTTCTTTACTGCATCATTGTTTATAGAGCTCATAAAGCATTTCCTTTTTTCAGACTTTTATCATGAACAATTATCTTTCTGTTGGAGTTGATGCTCTTGTCACTTTAAATTTCCACAAACAACGAGAGAGCTGGCCAGCTTTTTTTGCACACCGTTTTATTAACAAGGTAACTACCTACTTGGCAAGTTTATTTTGTGTTTTTTTGTTTTTGTTTTTAAATAGATGTGAACTAGTTGTGACATCAGACTAACTTTCAATCTGTGTTACAACATTTATATAGATGTGAACTAGTTGTGACATCAGACTAACTTTCAATCTGTGTTACAACATTTATATAGATGTGAACTAGTTGTGACATCAGACTAACTTTCAATCTGTGATGTGAACTAGTTGTGACATCAGACTAACTTTCAATCTGTGTTACAACATTTATATAGATGTGAACTAGTTGTGACATCAGACTAACTTTCAATCTGTGTTACAACATTTATATAGATGTGAACTAGTTGCTACATCAGACTAACTTTTAATCTGTGATGTGAACTAGTTGTGACATCAGAATAACTTTCAATCTGTGTTACAACATTTAAAATGTTCGTTTATATTGAAAAGCCCATGATTATTGCCAACTTTTGAGTTAGGATTTCAATGTTTCTTTTTGTTTAGGGGAAATAAATATAAAGAATCTTTTTTTGATGTTTCGAGATAAGCTAGTCGATGTCAGACTGTTCAACCTCAATTAATGAGTCAAATGGAAGAATGGTCATTAAAATCAATCAAGAGACATTCAAGTCAAAGTTCAAGAGAAATCAGTCAAGTCAAAGTTTTCATGCTCAGTTTATGTCTTTGTTTGACCTCCAAAATTGTTGCATTGTATTTACTTGTCAATAAAATAAATGGACACATTCCAGGTTCACATATTTCATAACATTCAGTTTCAAATGTGCTTGCTGTCTTAGAACCTCGTATTTGAAATTTGAAAGTAAATGACAGTGACTGACAGTGTCCATCATAAACAGTGACAGGGATTGACAGTGTCCATTATAAACATTGACCGTAAGTGACAGTGACTGACAGTCTATAACAATGGCTGCCAAATAGCTTTGATTGGCATGAATGAATACATGCCACAAATAACTCAAAGAACACACCTCACATCAACATCAACACCTCACATTATCATCAACAACTCAAATGATCATCAACACATCACATTATCAACACCTCAAATGATCATCAACACATCACATCATCATCAACACATGACATCGTCATCAACACCTCACATCATCTTCAACACCTCATATTATCATCAACACATCACATTATCATCAACACCTCACATTATCATCAACACCTCACATTATCATCAACACACCACATTATCATCAACACCTCAAATCGTCATCAACACATCTTATTATCATCAACACCTCTCCTTATCATCAACATTTCACATTATCATCAACACCTCACATCATCAACACCTCACATCATCATCAATACCTCACATCATCATCAACACATCACATCATCATCAACACATCACATCATCATCAACACCTCACATCATCATCAACACATCAGATCATCAACACATCACATTATCATCAACACCTCACATCGACATCAACACCTCACATCATCATCAACACTTCACATTATCATCAACACCTCACATCATCATCAACACATCACATCATCATCAACACCTCAAATGATCATCAACACATCACATCATCATCATCACCTCACATCATCATCAACACATCACATCATCAGCCACACATCACATTATCATCAACACATTACATTATCATCAACACATCACATTATCATTATCAACACCTCACATCATCATCAACACCTCACATCATCATCAACACATCACATCATCATCATCAACACATCACATTATCATCATCACATCATCATCAACACCTCACATCATCATCAACACATCACATCATCATCAACACATCACATTATCATCAACACCTCACATCATCATCATCAACACCTCACATCATCATCATCAACACCTCACATCATCATCATCAACACATCACGTTATCATCAACACCTCACATCATCATCAACACATCACATCATCATCAACACCTCACATCATCATCAACACATCACATTATCATCAACACATCACATTATCATCAACACATCACATTATCATCAACACATCACATTATCATCAACACATCACATCATCAACACATCACATCATCATCAACACCTCACATCATCATCAACACATCACATTATCATCAACACCTCACATCATCATCATCAGCACATCACATTATCATCAACACCTCACATCATCATCATCAACACCTCGCATCATCATCATCAACACCTCACATCATCATCATCAACACCTCACATCATCATCAACACCTCACATCATCATCATCAACACCTCACATCATCATCAACACATCACATCATCATCAACACATCGCATCATCATCAACACATCACATTATCATCATCAACACATCACATCATCATCAACACATCACATCATCATCATCATCAACACCTCACATCATCATCAACAAATCAAATTATCATCAACTACTCATATCATCATTAACACATCAAATTAACATCAACACCTCACATCATCATCAACAAATCAAATTATCATCAACTACTCACATCATCATTAACACATCACATTATCATCAACACCTCACATCATCATCAACACATCACATCATCAACACATCACATTATCATCAACACATCACATTATCATCAACACATCACATTATCATCAACACATCACATTATCATCAACATCTCAAATTAACATCAATGCTATAAAGGATTAGCCTATTAATAAAGGAGACACAAGGATTGTTTTGTGGGACTTAGATGTAATGTCATGAGAATATAACTATCGAATGTTTTAATAGACATAATGTTATGAGAATATAACTATCGAATGATTTAATAGACGTAATGTTTTGAGAATATAACTATTGAATGTTTAAATTGACATACTTGTAATACAGGGGAAAGTAAAATGACCATCGGTGAGGCACATATAAAGCCACCATCGGTGAGGCACATATAAAGCCACCATGTAATGACGAGCTCTAAAGTAGCATTCAATGAAAACCTATAATGACTCTACTATGATTGACATGTTGTCAACTTGATAGACACAAAGTCTAACTAAAGGGTATGTTCTAAAATGACTTGAATATTTTCAGGGCTGGGCTTTAAACAAGTCATTTTTTTTTTTTTTGCTTATTCTTTCAAACATAGTTACTAAAAACTAACTAACTTTAAGAATTTCTAAAACTAACATTATATTTCTTCATAATCTACTTTGATTACTCTAGTAATGTTTTGATTTGCAGTCTAGCCACGGATAAAGAACCTTAGTCCGATTCCTCCACCGTCTTAAATTTTTATCTTTGCTATTGAAATAAATGTAAATTCCATGAATCTGTTCCAGTCTTAGAGATATGGTGTGGCTACATTATTACAAGTTCATTCCCTTTTTGTTACTTAAGACTGTACAGATAGGATTGTACAGGTAGGAAGGTAAGGAAAGGATTGTACAGACAGGATTGTACAGATAGGATTGTACAGATGGGATTGTACAGATAGGATTGAACAGATAGGATTGTACAGATTTCTTTGTTAAACTGGGTATAGTTATCTGAGTTTCCACTGTATTTATTAAGCAATTATAAAGCAAAGAAATTATTATTATCTAAAAGCATTTTAGCATCGACCCTTTAAATTGGCGTAATTTTTTATGGTAGTTATCAAGATGATTAGATAATAACCATATATTATATGTATGATGAATTATATAAATCTCATCTTTGGGAGAAATCTAAAAACATAACATGCCTTAATGCTTTGTTTACTACTGCCACTTGGCCTAACATAACATGCCTTAATGCTTTGTTTACTACTGCCACTTGGCCTAACATAACATGCCTTAATGCTTTGTTTACTACTGCCACTTGGCCTAACATAACATGCCTTAATGCTTTGTTTACTACTGCCACTTGGCCTAACATAACATGCCTTAATGCTTTGTTTACTACTGCCACTTGGCCTAACATAACATGCCTTAATGCTTTGTTTACTACTGCCACTTGGCCTAACATAACATGCCTTAATGCTTTGTTTACTACTGCCACTTGGCCTAACATAACATGCCTTAATGCTTTGTTTACTACTGCCACTTGGCCTAACATAACATGCCTTAATGCTTTGTTTACTACTGACACTTGGCCGTATCCATTTTTACACTTTGGACATAACTTTTTGCAACTATTTTAACAAAGTCGTTACATTATTGGGTTCAATTTAAAAAAAAAAAATGTTTGATCAGAATTCCATAGTTGATTCGGTCCACCAACAAATCCAATGAGTGGAACACTGGTTTCTTTCAGTTTTGTTATTTTACATATGGAACCAAGGACGTTTTGGAGAGGGAATGCAAGGATCTTCACAAGAAGTTAAAGGTAGCAATGTGTAGTCTTGTGTTTAAACTAAGGTAGCATTGTGTAGTCTTGTGTTTAAACCAAGGTAGTTATGTGTAGTCTTGTGTTTAAACAAAGGTATCAATGTGTAGTCTTGTGTTTCAACTAAGGTAGCAATGTGTAGTCTTGTGTTTAAACAAAGGCAGCAATGTGTAGTCTTGTGTTTAAACTAAGGTTAGCAATGTGTAGTCTTGTGTTTAAACAAAGGTAGCAATTTGTAGTTTTGTGTTTAAACTAAGGTAGCAATGTATTTTCTTGTGTTTAAACTAAGGTAGCAATGTGTAGTATTGTGTTTAAACAAAGGTAGCAATGTGTAGTCTTGTGTTTAAACTAAGGTAGAAATGTGTAGTCTTGTGTTAAAAGTAATGTAGCAATGTGTAGTCATGTGTTTAAATAAAGGTAGCAATGTGTAGTCTTGTGTTTAAACTGAGGTAGCAATGTGTAGTCTTGTGTTTAAACTAAGGTAGCAATGTCTAGTCTTGTGTTTAAACTAAGATAGTAATGTGTAGTCTTGTGTTTAAACTAAGGTAGCAATATAAATGTGAAGTTGACCAATGCTATAGTGGACAGTAACGTGTAGGTGACCAATGTTATAGTGGACAGTAAATAAGCAGGTGGATTGTCAATCCTATCTATGTTTGGAAAGCTTGCCTGCACGTAGGACACAGCATTGTTATGGGTTCCTGGTGAATTTGTAGGACACAACATGTTTTGGGTTCCTGGTGGGTTTGTAGGACACAACATGTTTTAGGTTCCTGGTGGGTTTGTAGGACACAACATGTTTTGGGTTCCTGGTGGGTTTGTAGGACACAACGTGTTGTGAGTTCTTGGTGGAGTTGTGCGATCCAAAGCTAGTGTTCCCATCAGTTCATGTCAATGTCCTTTTATTCTCCCCACACACCAGCTGAGCGTTATGATGTGGAAAGCCAGAGTAAATTCCAACCCAAGTTAATTCAGACTGAGTCAGCAGACAGCAGCCAACTTGGCTACAGATTCTTCAAAATGGTTGTGTCTGTCAACATACTAGCAGTGTATGCCAACATACTAGTAGTGTATGCCAACATATTAGCTGTGTATGCCAACATACTAGCTGTGTATGCCAACATATTGGCTGTGTATGCCCACATACTAGCAGTGTATGCCAACATACTAGCTGTGTATGCACACATACTAGCAGTGTATGCCAACATATTAGCTGTGTATGCCAACATACTAGCAGTGTATGCCAACATACTAGCAGTGTATGTCAACATACTAGCAGTGTATGCCAACAAATTAGCTGTGTATGCCAACAAATTAGCTGTGTATGCCAACATACTGGCAGTGTATGCTTTCAGTGTATGCTGGCAGTGTAACCTGTTAAACCAGATTAATATCTGCCAAACAATATTTAAAAATTATTTTGTCATGCCCAGCACCAGTTTCCACTACAATAGACATATCAATAATGTATGGCCAGCACCAGTTTCCACTACAATAGACATATCAATAATGTATGGCTAGCACCAGTTTCCACTACAATAGACATATCAATAATGTATGGCTAGCACCAGTTTCCACTACAATAGACATATCAATAATGTATGGCTAGCACCAGTTTCCACTACAATAGACATATAAATAATGTATGGCTAGCACCAGTTTCCACTACAATAGACATATCAATAATATATGGCTAGCACCAATTTCCACTACAATAGACATATCAATAATATATGGCTAGCACCAGTTTCCACTACAATAGACATATCAATAATGTATGGCTAGCACCAGTTTCCACTGCAATAGACATATCAATAAAGTATGGCTAGCACCAGTTTCCACTACAATAGACATATCAATAATGTATGGCTTGCACCAGTTTCCACTACAATAGACATATCAATAATGTATGGCTAGCACCAGTTTCCACTACAATAGAATATCAATAATGTATGGCTAGCACCAGTTTCCACTACAATAGACATATCAATAATGTATGGCTAGCACCAGTTTCCACTACAATAGACATATCAATAATATATGGCTAGCACCAGTTTCCACTACAATAGACATATCAATAATGTATGGCTAGCACCAGTTTCCACTACAATAGACATATCAATAATGTATGGCTAGCACCAGTTTCCACTACAATAGACATATCAATAATGTATGGCTAGCACCAGTTTCCACTACAATAGACATATCAATAATGTATGGCTAGGACCAGTTTCCACTACAATAGACATATCAATAATGTATGGCTAGCACCAGTTTCCACTACAATAGACATATCAATAATGTATGGCTAGCACCAGTTTCCACTACAATAGACATATCAATAATGTATGGCTAGCACCAGTTTCCACTACAATAGACATATCAATAATGTATGGCTAGCACCAGTTTCCACTACAATAGACATATCAATAATGTATGGCTAGCACAAGTTTCCACTACAATAGACGTATCAATAATATATGGCAAGCACCAGTTTCCACTACAATAGACATATCAATAATGTATGGCAAGCACCAGTTTCCACTACAATAGACATATCAATGATGTATGGCTAGCACCAGTTTCCACTACAATAGACATATCAATAATGTATGGCTAGCACCAGTTTCCACTACAATAGACATATCAATAATGTATGACTAGCACCAGTTTCCACTACAATAGACATATCAATAATGTATGGCTAGCACCAGTTTCAACTACAATAGACATATCAATAATGTATGGCTAGCACCAGTTTCCACTACAATAGACATATCAATAATGTATGGTGAATGTATTGCGAATCAAAACTATGAGAATCAAAGCTGCGTGAATCGAGGCTGTGAGAATCAAATCTTTGTTAATCAAAACTTTGTAAATAAAAGCTATGTAAATCAAAGCTGTGTGAATTAAAGCTATGCAAATCAAAGCTGTGCGAATCTAAGGATCCATTACTTTGGCTTTACTCGAACCTTGAATAGACATGTGTTTAGATTTGTGTACCTAAATGTGTTTCAGTATTGCTATATAACTTGTGTTTATGAGACCCATTGATTTATTGAGTGCCCCAGATGTTTATGTGTGTCAGTACTGTTATATAACTTGTGTTTATGAGACCCATTGACTTACTTAGTGCCCCAGATGTTTATGTGTGTCAGTACTGTTATATAACTTGTGTTTATGAGACCCATTGACTTACTGAGTGTCCCAGATGTTTATGTGAGTCAGTACTGTTATATAATTTGTGTTTATGAGACCCATTGACTTACTGAGTGTCCCAGATGTTTATGTGAGTCAGTACTGTTATATAATTTGTGTTTATGAGACCCATCGACTTACTGAGTGGCCCAGATGTTTATGAATAAGTCCAATTAATTTGAAAATAGCTTACTTCTTCATTCTCAGCTGGAATTAGATAACAAAGAAGTCATCCTACCAGAACTTGAAGGAATTGTGGTTCTGAATATATCATCATGGGGAGGTGGCTGTCAACCTTGGGGTAATAGTCAAGAGTCAGGCATGAGCCAACCAAGGTGAGTACATATTTATGGCTGTCAACCTTGGGGTAATAGTCAAGAGTCAGGCATGAGCCAACCAAGGTGAGTACATATTTGGGGCTGTCAACCTTGGGGTAATAGTCAAGAGTCAGGCATGAGCCAACCAAGGTGAGTACATATTTGGGGCTGTCAACCTTGGGGTTATAGTCAAGAGTCAGGCATGAGCCAACCAAGGTGAGTACATATTTGGGGCTGTCAACCTTGGGGTTATAGTCAAGAGTCAGGCATGAGCCAACCAAGGTGAGTACATATTTGGGGTTGTCAGCCTTGGGGTAATAGTAAAGATCAAGGGTCTCGAACTGAAATCATCCGGGGGCCGCAGGAGGTGGAGTCTGAGTGAACTGGGCCGCATCAAGTATTCCACAAAGAAGCGATTAAAAATTCAATAAAGTACAAATGTGCTCAACCTATATTAATAACAAATAAAAACATTAACACTGACAAGCTATCCCTGGTCTTGTAACTTCTTGTTGAGTACATTCAGCTCCTGTGTAATGTCAACAAGAAAAGCCAAGTGCATGAGCCGTTTGGGATCATTTAGTACAGGAACAACGACACCATCCTTCTCCATGAAGACTTTGAAGGCTAAAACGTGTCAAACAGTAGGCAGGGGCAGGCAATATTTATAAATTGTTGATGCAAAGGAAGATGCTATTGTAGGGAGATAGAATTTTGATTTTTTTTTTATCGTAAAAAGGCCTTTTTGACTAACCCTTTTTTGAAAGTGACCAAGCTGACAGACTCGGAATTTCCCACACGCGTAATCACTAGCGGCAATTTCAAATAAATATTCTTTGATACGGTGTCAGATTGCTTCGATTTACACAATTATTGTTGTGCATTACCCAATGACTGACTTTTTAAACTTTTCTCAAAACTGCACTTTGGCCGCCATGTTTTTCTCATAAAATGCTATAAAATAAAAACTTTTAGTCCAATTTTGAAATGTTTTTCACCATTGGAATCAATGTCCAAACCTGTACATACATGAGACGAGTTGGTGAGATTCGACTGAAACCTTCGCGGCGGGTCACGTTATAGATAGGAGAATGGGGAAAACCCACGGGCCCCTTTAATACTAAACTTTTCTGTCATGTAGCGGGCCGTAAAATATCCTCTTGCGATGGCCCGTGGTCCCCGAGTTTGAGACCACTGGTCAAGAGTCAGGCATGAGCCAACCAATGTGAGTACATATGGCGAGGTGGTTGTCAGCCTCTATGGCCCTATCCCAATGAGACACTACACAAGCTGCCTCTATGGCCCTGTCCCAAATGTGATAGTACACAAACTGACTCTATGGCCCTATCCCAATGAGATAATACACAAACTGACTCTATTGCCCTAATGGAGTCGGTTAAGCACTGGATGACCATAAACAAGCTCAAATTAAATGATGATAAGACTGAGCTGCTCCCCATCGCGACCGCTCAGAAGCAAAAATCTGCAAATAACACTACATCCATTACTCTCTCAGGTGTGCGTATTGAGTTAGCTCAAACAGTGCGGTACCTGGGTGTCTACCTAGATGGAAGACTAACTTTTGAAAGTCATATTAACATGCTATGCAAGGCGATTTTTCTAGAGCTGCGCAGGATTAGTCACATCAGGCCCTTCCTAACAATTGATGCAACAAAGAGGCTGATGTCTGCATTTGTGCTATCACGCATGGACTATTGCAATGCTCTCATGGTGGGTCTTCCAGCTACGCTCCTGGATAAAATTCAAATAGCACAGAATAATGCGGCTCGCATAGTTCTCCGCAAACGCAAATTCGACCATGCAAAAACACTTCTGAGAGAGTTGCATTGGCTGCCGGTGCGTGCTCGCATAGAGTACAAAATCGCAACTTTGTGCTACCGCTGCTTACATGACCTGGCGCCGTCCTATCTGAAAGAGCTGCTGACGCCTTATGTACCCAGTAGAGAGCTCCGCTCATCCGATAGTGGCAAACTCTCGACACCACGTGTTTGCCTTGAGACTTACGGAAAGCGCACTTTCGCATTTGCTGGTCCAACAATTTGGAACGCCCTTCCTGTCGATCTTAGAAGCAACCAGACACTGGAGTCCTTTAAAACCGATCTAAAGACATATCTATTTCGCAAATACCTTCTGGGATGATTGTCTACCTTCTTTTCCATGTGTTGCTGTGTTGCTCCGGGTTGAAATGGCTAGAAAGACTTTGATATTGTATGCTTGTAATTAGTTTTCGTAGTGTTGCGTTTGTTTTAAATGTGGTGAATTATAGATATTTTTTGTTGACTTTGTACCGCGCTTCGAGCCTTTGGGGATGAAGCGTGTTTTTGAAATGAACTTTATTATTATTATTATTATTATCCCAAATGTGAAGTACACAAACTGACTCTATGGCCCTATCCCAATGAGATAGTACACAAACTGACTCTATGGCCCTATCCCAAATGAGATAGTACACAAACTGACTCTATTGCCCTATCCCAAATGTGAAGTACACAAACTGACTCTATTGCCCTATCCCAAATGTGATAGTACACAAACTGACTCTATGGCCCTATCCCAATGAGAGGCTACACAAACTAAATCTCAACACAACCCTCGTATCTCATCTGTTTGACAGGTATGATGATGGCAAGTTGGAGGTCATGGGACTTTTCTCATCCTTCCACATTGCTCAGTTGCAGATCGGCCTGGCCACACCCCTGAGACTTGGACAGGCCAGAAAAGTGACCGTAAGTGTTAGTCGTATCTGAAAAGTGACAGTGAGTGTTAGTCGTATCTGAAAAGTGACCATAAGTGTTAGTCGTATCAGAAAAGTGACCGTAATTGTTAGTCGTATCAGAAAAGTGACCATAATGGTAGTCGTATCAGAAAAGTGACCGTAAGTGTTAGTCGTATCAGAAAAGTGACCATAAGTGTTAGTCATATCAGAAAAGTGACCGTAAGTGTTAGTCATATCAGAATAGTGACCATAAGTGTTAGTCGTATCAGAAAAGTGACCAAAAGTGTTAGTCGTATCAGAAAAGTGACCGTAAGTGTTAGTCGTATCTGAAATAGATACTTAATCATCACACCACATGAATCAAATGTAATTGAAAGAGTTTGCCCTACCATCACACCACATGAATCATAAAGAATTGAAAGAGTTTGCCCTACCATCACACCACATGAATAATATAGAATTGAAAGAGTGCTGGGTGGCCGAGCGGTCTAAACTGTCTCAAACCAAATAGCTGGTGGTCTGGAGTTCCATCCCCACCAAAGCCAACATCCCAAGCATCCTGGGTGGATGGGACTTGTTAGCCTTGGACGGCAACCCATCTAAGAGAAGGCAAACTCTGAATTAAACCAGGAGCCAGAATGATCAACAAATTGATCGTGGGCCCCTCAAATATAAGAAGAAGAAGAGTTTGCCCTACCATCAAAACACATGAATAAAATAGAGTTTGCCCTCAATGACCCCTACTTGCACCCCAAGACCACCTACTTGCCCCCAGTGACCCCTACTTGCCTCCAGTGACCCCTACTTGCCCCCAGTGACCCCTACTTGCCCCCAGTGACCCCTACTTGCCCCCAAAGACCCCTACTTGCCCCCTATGACCCTTACTTTCCTTCATGTCTGTCACCAGATAAGTCTTCATGGTGGAAATGCTCCAATGCAAGTTGATGGAGAGCCCTGGGAGCAACACCCTGCAATGATAACCATCAGCCACAGACGGAAGGCCGCCATGATGTCACTCTCTCCGGCATGATGTCACTCTCTCCGCCATGATGTCACTCTCTCTGCCATGATGTCACCCTCTCTGCCATGATGTCACTCTCTCTGCGATGATGTCACTATCTCCGCCATGATGTCACTCTCTCCAATATCATAGTGTGTTGTCATTTTTTGTATACAAGTTTAAATGTAACAGTGTATTGTTATGACAGTCAAATGTACTAGTTTTAATGTAAGCTGTGTATTGTTATGACAGTCAAATGTACAAGTTTTAATGCTAGCAGTGTATTGTTATGACAGTCAAATGTACAAGTTTTAATGTTAGTGTATTGTTATGACAGTCAAATGTACACATGTTTTATACAATATTTACTGGTTATCTAATTCAAGGTCCTAGTGCTGGTATTGATTGGTTATCTAAGTCAAGGTCCTGGTGCTGGTATTGATTGGTTATCTAAGACAAGGTCCTGGTGCTGGTATTGATTGGTTATCTAAGTCAAGGTCCTAGTGCTGGTATTGATTGGTTATCTAAGTCAAGGTCCTGGTGCTGATATTGATTGGTTATCTAAGTCAAGGTCCTAGTGCTGGTATTGATTGGTTATCTAAGTCAAGGTCCTAATGCTGGTATTGATTCGTTATCTAAGTCAAGGTAAAAATATAATACAAGCCCAATAATACAAGCCTTGAGATTGGCTGGTTGCCATCTGCCCAATAATACAAGCCTTGAGGTTGGCTGGTGGCCATCTGCCCAATAATACAAGCCTTGAGATTGGCTGGTTGCCATCTGCCCAATAATACAAGCCTTGAGATTGGCTGGTTGCCATCTGCCCAATAATACAAGCCTTGAGATTGGCTGGTTGCCATCTGCCCAATAATACAAGCCTTGAGATTGGCTGGTGGCCATCTGCCCAATAATACAAGCCTTGAGATTGGCTGGTGGCCATCTGCCCAATAATACAAGCCTTGAGATTGGCTGGTTGCCATCTGCCCAATAATACAAGCCTTGAGATTGGCTGGTTGCCATCTGCCCAATAATACAAGCCTTGAGATTGGCTGGTTGCCATCTGCCCAATAATACAAGCCTTGAGATTGGCTGGTGGCCATCTGCCCAATAATACAAGCCTTGAGATTGGCTGGTGGCCATCTGCCCAATAATACAAGCCTTGAGATTGGCTGGTTGCCATCTGCCCAATAATACAAGCCTTGAGATTGGCTGGTTGCCATCTGCCCAATAATACAAGCCTTGAGATTGGCTGGTTGCCATCTGCCCAATAATACAAGCCTTGAGGTTGGCTGGTGGCCATCTGCCCAATAATACAAGCCTTGAGGTTGGCTGGTGGCCATCTGCCCAATAATACAAGCCTTGAGATTGGCTGGTTGCCTTCTGCCCAATAATACAAGCCTTGAGGTTGGCTGGTTGCCATCTGCCCAATAATACAAGCGTTGAGGTTGCTCATTGGTTCAGCTATTCAGGTTGGTTCTCACATTTCTTGCTCATCTCGCCGTTTAATGGCAGCTTCCATTGATAGTTTACAGTGTTCTGTCATTTTATAGCAACTTTTTTTTTGTACCCAGGGACCCCAATAATGCTTTAAAAATATTTGACCTTGAAAAACCCAAAAGGCATATCAGCCCCATTGGAATATTTTATGCAGTTTTTCACATGATTCTCTTTCAAATGCTTGTTAGCACTTATTTAGGCTTGACCAATCAGAACATTCCAGAATGTTCTAGCAGTAAATCATGTTTATCCTAGGTGTACACAAAATTGTATGCATAGATTATGCAAATCAGGATATTTTTTTGCATAAAAATTGTATTTCAATTTGATTCGCAAAGATCTTATTAGTGCATTCAATTCCCTACAAGAATATATTTAGTTTAATACTTTTAAAGTAACTATTTTATTTTTAATTTGTTTGCAAAGTAAGTAAGTGTGGGGCTTTTGAAAAATTCTCTGATTTCTTGGCATGTTGGCTCCCTCAAAAGTGCTTTGATTTCTTGGCATGTTGGCTCCCTTAAAAGTGCTCCGATTTCTTAGCATGTTGGGTGCTGGGTGGCCGAGCGGTCTAAACGGTCTCAAACCAAACAGCTGGTGGTCTGGAGTTCAATCCCCACCAAAAGCAAATCATCCCAAGCACCCCGGGTAGATGGGACTCGCTAGCCTTGGACGGCAACCCATCTAAGAGAAGGCAAACTCTGAATTTAAACCAGGAGCCAGAATGATCAACAAATTGATCGTGGGCACCTCAAATATAAGAAGAAGAAGAAGAAGATTTTCTTTCTATTTGGTTATTATCTTGTGGGATCAGTGAAATATTTCTCATGTGAACAGTCATGGATAAGCTGTTTGCTTTATTAGTACCTGTATACTGTTTGCTTTATTAGTACCTGTATACTGTTTGCTTTATTAGTACCTGTATACTGTTTGCTTTATTAGTACCTGTATACTGTTTGCTTTATTAGTACCTGTATACTGTTTTCTTAATGCTTGCTTTATTTGTATACTGGTACTAATAATATTTTCTTGTTATTCAAAGTGGATCAAGGGGAGAGAACCATTAAAGCTGTAGTGTTTTCATTTTTTATTTCCCTTTTTGACAGCTAAGCTAGCCTGAGTTGAGTAAGATTCAAGTGCTAACTTTGCAAATCATCTGGGTAATAATTTAATTTTATCATGTTCCATCCCTTATGTCACACATTGATATCAGACCAGATATTAGACCAGATGTCAGAACAGATGTCTGACAAGATTTCCATGTTTGCGCCGATTACATTTCAAGTGATTCATTCCAGCGTCTGTTTGCTGTATACATTGAAGCATATTTTTGTAATGTCTCAAATACTTTCTTGACCAAACTCTTTGTTCTATGCCATTATGGGGGGGACCAGTGCAAAATATATTTTTTTATAAACATCAATAGGGTTTATTGTTATACACATCAGTAGGGTTTGTTGTTATAAACATAAATAGGGTTTATTGTTATAAACCTCAATAGGGTTTATTATAAACATCAGTAGGGTTTGTTGTTATAAACATCAATAGGGTTTATTGTTATAAACATCAATAGGGTTTATTGTTATAAACATCAATAAGGTTTATTATAGATATCAATAGGGTTTATTGTTATAAACATCAATAGGGTTTATTATAGACATCAATAGGGTTTATTGTTATAAACATCAATAGGGTTTATTGTTATAAACATCAATAGGGTTTATTGTTATAAACATCAATAGGGTTTATTGTTATAAACATCAGTAGGGTTTGTTGTTATAAACATCAATAGGGTTTATTGTTATAGATCATTCTAAATGATTGTGCAGTAGATTGCGATGATGTTGAACATTAGTATCAATCATTATAGTTTATAATAATTCAATTTTTGTCATGACCTGACTGTTTGAATTTTCTATAAAAGTCTGGTACAATTTTGTCATGACCTTTCTATAAAAGTCTGGTACAATTTTGTCGTGACGCAATTATTTCCCTTTATGTAGAATCTCCTCTAGACTTTCTTATTATCTCCTATGGTCTCCTTTTTGTTATAATTTTGACATGCATGACATTCTAACATCATTTATGACATCCTTACATCATGTATGACATCCAAACATAATATATGACATACCAACTTCGTGTATGACATCCTCACATCATGTGTGACATCCTAACATCATGTAGGACTTGAAACCTTGCCTGGGGTATTCACACTACTTCCTATCTTTATTTATTGTATTGTTTTAAAAAGAACAACAATTATTATTTTAATGATATTCTGATGGAAAGAAGATTTTCCTTATTTAAGGATACCACACTGTGATATTTAAGTCTAAGTATAAGAATACCACACTGATTTTTAAGTACCCGGTATAAGAATACCACATTGTGATTTTTAAGTATAAGGATACCACATTGTGATATTTAAGTTGCAATTATTGCTTTAAATTTATTTTTGCCATTATTTGCCTACTCCACCAGTGCTTAAATTTTTATTTTATGCACTCTTATTCTCTCTCTCTTTATTTCTCTCCTTCTCTCTATTTCTCTATGTCTTTTAATTCTCCTGTAAATCTTATTTTATTTAGCCAAATATATCTTATCAGATGTCAACACTGCTTGTCAGTATGGATATGATCTTATTCCATCTGATCACTGCTTGTCAGTACGGATATGATCTTATTCCATCTGATCACTGCTTGTACCAGTACTGATATGATCTTATTCCATCTGATCACTGCTTGTACCAGTACTGATATGATCTTATTCCATCTGATCACTGCTTGTGAGATGAGCCTGACCTAACGACCAGTCTATTTAATTGTTTGCCATGTTCTTATATTTGAAAGCAATGTTAATCTTATGCCATGCTATGTTCGTATATCTGAAAGCAAGGTTAAGCTTATGCCATGCTATGTTCTTATATTTTAAAGCAATGTTAGGCTTATGACGTGCTTTGTTCGTATATTTTAAAGCAATGTTAGCTGTGGGTTATGTGCTACACTTTCAATATTTTCAGATATTCACAGTAACTTATGATAGCTATACCGGTATCTTTATTGTTGTATTCCATCCAACGATTTTGATTTTTTAAAAATTATCACAAAATTAACGTGCCATATCATTTTTATGAGAGCTTTCAGGTACTATATGACGACGATACCAATGATGAGAGCTTTCAGGTACTATATGACGACGATACCAATGATGAGAGCTTTCAGGTACTATATGATGACGATACCAATGATGAGAGCTTTCAGGTACTATATGACGACGATACCAATGATGAGAGCTTTCAGGTACTATATGACGACGATACCAATGATGAGAGCTTTCAGGTACTATATGACAACGATACCAATGATGAGAGCTTTCAGGTACTATATGACGACGATACCAATGATGAGAGCTTTCAGGTACTATATGACGACGATACCAATGATGAGAGCTTTCAGGTACTATATGATGACGATACCAATGATGAGAGCTTTCAGGTACTATATGATGACGATACCAATGATGATAGCTTTCAG